TTATTATTATTATTATTATTATTATTATTATTATTATTATGGGTGCTAGGGGTGCTTAGTAGGCTTAGTAGGGGCTTGTGTAGGCTGGTTAAAAAGGCGGTGAGGGTGGCTGATACTGTATTTACATGATGTGGAGTTTTTGCGCGATTGTCGATTTAGTCCTCCGTAAGAGACACGAGTCTGGTATCCACTGCTTGATAAATCTCCGCAATCTGCGTCACCTGTAGGGGTTGGCTTGATATCAGCAAGATAAGCTGGTCAGCTAGGCCATAGACTGCCCTCTCACCGAGAGCAACAGTCTCCTCAAGTCCCACCTCCACAGAACGACCCATCCTCCAAGAACCGAAGAAAGCGCCGTAAACAGGATAAGCGGTCCGTACACGGTCCCATAGCCAAACCGCGAGCTAGCCGGTACAACTCCAGCCTTCAACAACCCAACACTTGCAAACCCACCGCTCGCATATCCTATACCTCGCACCCCATTCAGGAGCCCGTAGAGCATGCCCGAGTCAATCGCCTCGTTCCGCTCTGCAGACTCGCGCTCCATCTGCTTCAGCATCCCGCCCCACGTCGCACTGTACCCGCCCGAGAAAAAGCCAAAAGTAATGGAGAAGACCACGAGGAGCCCGATATTGCCCGGGGTCGTCAAGCCCCAGAAGAGCAATGTGGCAATGGCACTGGCAATGGGCGGGATGGCAGCCACGGTCTGGGTGTTCAATCTGAAGCGCTGGTTGTCGCTCAACCAGCCGAAGAAGATCGAACTAACAATGCCCGGGGTATTAAAAACGGCCAGCAGTAACGTCCCCGATGCGCCAGACAGGAGCGCGATGTCCTTCGCATAGCTACCCAGGTACGTCTGCGGGATTCCGTACCCAGAGCTCTGGAAGATAATCGCGCTGCTGTAGAAGTAGATTGACCTGTGACGGAGGAAGTGCCATGGGATCTTGCGGGCGCGGGTTCGATGGACCGATGCCGTTGACGGATGCGTAGGGGTCATAAGGATACCTAGAAGGCTTGTGCCGCCGACAATCGCCGCCCAGGCCTGGACAGTCCTCTGATAGCCATAGGCGTCTATCAGCGCGCGAATAAGAAACGGGCACGCGGTCCCGACAATGTTCTTGCATGACAGAACGATCCCATACGCGATCGCTCGGTTGCTCCCACTGGTACTGTACCATTCGCCCAGCGAGAGGGTGGTGGTGCTATAGATCAACGCGCAGCCCAGCGCCGACGTGACACCCTGCGTCGCGAGCAAGTGCGTGATCGTCCTGCTGTACGACGAGAGCAGGAAGCTCGCGCATGCCATGGCTGTCCCACAGAGGGCAGCGAGGCGGCGGCGATGCGCCCAGCGCCTGGTAAATAGCGCGAACAGAAAGGGCATGGAGAGGTACATGACGCCGTTGGCTGTGGTGCCGATCACGCCAGTGATGCTGCGGTCGCCGGCGAATGTCCAGTTGTTGGAGTAGTACTCTTGGAACACGCCGTAGCTCATTCCGAAGCCTGTTCATCAGCATAGGTAGGAAGTAGGCTGAAGGACCTTTGAGTAGACCGTACCCCATATCGGTAACTGGAGGATGCCAGACCCGACGAGCACGCAGAGCTTGGTTGTTCTCGATTCGCGTGGTCTCGAATCAGCGTCCGCGGGATCTAATACTTGTGACTGCTGAAGCGAAAGATTTTCGGTCGTGGCCATGGTATACGAGTCGAGGTGAAGAAGGGATGGCAGGTTAAGGTCATCCATGGGGGTGCACTTTTTATACCAAAGAATGCGGGGTTGATCCAATCAGGCAATGCTCATGAGTCACTACTCTGTTGGAGTAGGCATATTGGTCCTAATAAGGGTACTTTTACTCGGAGACAGTTGTTCAACTTACTTATCAGTCCCTTCCCCTAACCTTCGTATAAAAGTAAACTACCTCGATCATTCTCACTAAATGTGGTATGGGCATAAGGGTCTGTATATTTGAACAGTAACCGCAGCCCTATCGAACAAGGCTGTCTCCGAATATGCACGGCATGTGCACTAGTTTGGTATAAAGAAGCGACAGAACGGGCAACAGGACAACCTGGTCAAACCATCAATACACTTCAAACTGCTAGGCCAGACTGAACTGCTAGAGCCCAAGCCACTTATTTCCATCCCAAGACGGTCGGATCCTGTCATCGATGATCAGCCAGCCACCTACAGCCACACGTAAAATGGGGACCTACCATAAAGAGTTCCAACTTTTTAATAAAAAAATTGCCACCATGTTCGACAAGCTTAAACTCTGCCGCCGTATGCGCCAGAACATGCTCCTCATCTTTGGTGAACCCATAAGTATTGATAACAACAACATGCAACGGCGAGAGCGGCGAGATTTAAAAGCGGATGGGCTGGTGCTTTAGACCAGGGAACTGAGTCCAGAACTGCTCACGCTGGGCTCGGAGCGCTAACAAACATGAGCCATTACTGTAAATAGCGCGACTGGGGAGCGTATACCTACCTTGACGACCAGTCAGGGTCTGAGCCGGTGTGACGAACTCGCCGTCTTCATCGAACATGTCGCTCCATTCTTGGGCAGCCTGGAGTGTCTCGCCGTCCAGGAGGGTATAGAAGTTCTTGAGAAATTGCAGAATCTTGTCTTGGGTGGCATCGCCGATTTGGTCTGGGAGGACACTGGACATTTTGAGTCGGGCTCTGGGATAAGTGTAGATGAGAGAATGGAAGGTATGCCGAGGATAAACCGGGAGTTGGCAGGAGAGGTAAGGTAGGGTAGCGGGAAGTCCTGGGTATATATACTGCATAAGCTGCAGCGCAGATCATTCTTGCAGGAAAGAAGGAAGTTCGGCGGTCGCTGTCCAGGGACTCCGCACTTGGTCCCATCCTGAGTGGAATGAATTGCCCAATCAGGCGCAATGGGCAAGGTCTGGAATTTAAGTTGTGATGGACTTTGCAGGATGCGTTGTCACATGTAGGGTTTTACGCAATTATTGCCTGGTAGCTGTATGCCGCAGACACACCGGAAACCTTTCTGGGCAGAGAAAAGCCAATGGAATGCTCCTCTTCACCGCTAGACCCAAGGTAGACCTGGCCTCTGAAAAAAGCAAAAGCACTTTGCTGCCTAGAACCCCACTGGGCAGGAACTTGAAATGAATTGTGTTCCGGGAATATAGTTCTCGAGATAAGGCTTTCCAAGAAGGTATATGCAGGAGATATACTCACTGAATATTTGTCTGTCTGACCTTCGCTTCATTCTATGGCTTCGTCTTTAGAGTTATCGTCAGTCTAATACAAGATTGTCAAACTTGATGTCCACTACGAGCTGCTTCGAACGAAAATACTTACTCGTCACTTTGCTGAGTCTGCCTGATTAATAGTTCTATCCTTCCCCAGCAACTATTCAAGAAATGAACCACGGGGCATGACCCAAGCTCCAAGACTGCAACTTCTAGCCTTGACACATAGAATAGTATACCATAGCACTCAAGAGACCAAGGATCTTACTTCACAGCAGCTCCAACAAAAGCTTCCATCCCAACACTCGCAGAGCTTTTCCGCTCTTCTGTCAGAGGACCCCCAATAACCGCCCACAACCTCTCCCCTTCCCCCGCCGTCCATCCTCTTTAAATACAGCACCAAAACCGTTTCAATGAGCCCCTCTACATTCATCCGAGCTCATCTCGTCTTCGTTCTCGGGATCGGGGTCCTGGATTCATCAAACCCCCCTGCTATAAGGGTATTTGGGAGGTTAGGATTCACTCGGTGTGCCACTCCTCGATATATAGCGGGCTATATGGCATTCTCCCTTTTCCGGCGTCTCCTGAATCCGGACCTATAACACTCTATCAGGTGCTTCTTAGAGAGTGTCCAAGTACTCGAGATCCGTCCTGGTAGAGATATACACACGCCCACCGGGTTTCAAAGTCCGATACATCTCTTGAACGCCGGGGACAGGGTCCGGGAGGAAGACGATTCCGAGGTTCATGTAGATGTGCGTAAATGAATTTTCCGGGAAAAGGGATCCTGGGAGCCTATGCGTGTTGCGTGGAGTAGTCATCATTGGAATTATTTTCTTGCTGGAGTCGGTTTTAGTATAGAGGATTACCTTGGAAATAGAAGGAGAGTAAAGCCCGGGGAAGATTCACGGTGATTTCGAGTCCGGAGATGGGGTATAGGACTTAGGGCTAGTAAGTACCTCGAGCTTATACGAGCAACGCAAGATTCAGAGCTGATCATGTTGTTTAGATGGTGGCGCTGACAGTAAGTATCACATGCTGCAAATGACATACCATCCCGCCGTTGGCTGGTTCGGGAATATAGTGGAGTTAGCGTAGTCTTATTATAACCACGTGATTTATAATAGTATTTTAATAATATAATAAGTAATTATAATATTATAGTATTTTTTAAAATTTATATATATAATTAATATAAAAAAATACTAGTAAAATATAATTACCTACTAAAAATATATTATATATTATTTTAATTTAAAAATTTATTATAAATTATATTTTTAATAATATATTAGCTAAGTGCAAGCTATATTTTTATATTTTTTATTTATTTTTAGTAAAAATATATAAATATATAGCTAAATATGCTTTTTAGGGGGGTAATAATAAATTATAATAAATATATAATAAAATTTTTAATATATACTTTTTTAGTTTTAAATTTAGCTTATAAATATAATTTTTTTTATTACTTTATATTATTAAAAGGCCAGTTTACCGGCTATATTTTATTTATTTTATATAAAATAAATAACCTAGGTAAAAAATATTAGCTTTAATAACTATTAAAAAAAAAAGAAATAAAGCTATAAATTAAAAAAATAATATCCACCCCTAAAATACTTATAAAATAACAAAAGTTTTTTTAAAAAAAAGTTAAACTTAGTTACCAGGGCTAATATTTATATAACTAAAGGTATTATTACTTATAACCTTTTTTTTAATTTTAATTATTTTTTTATTATTTTTATTTTTTAGCTTATTATTTTTATTATTTTTAAAATATTTTATTTTTACCCCGGCGTCGCGAGCGTGAGGTATAAATAATATTACTTATTAAATATATAAAATTATTTAACTTTTTAGCCTATTTTACCTAGTAATAATAAACCCATGGGTATAAGTACTTATAAAAATAAATATTATTATTAAAAAAATATATATTTTAAGGTAATTTAAATTATATATATATATTTTTATATATAATTTTTAAGTTATAAACTAACTAAGTAAAGTGCTAGTATACTTAAGGTAATATTAAATAATACTTATAAAAATTTATTATTAAAAGTATTTTTTATATACCTTTATATTTATAAAGATTTTTAATATAAGTTAAATTAAAATAATATATAATTTAATTATATATATAGTAGTTAAGGTGTTAAATTATATATAATAATATAAAGTATTTTATAGTTATTACTCTTGCTAATATAAAATATATAGGATAAATAATTTCCAGGAGTTAAATAAAATTATTTAATATAATAAATTTATTTAAAAAGGTATAATATATTATTCTTGGGATTAGCCAGCTAAAAAAAATATTAATATTAATAATAAATATAAGTAAAGGGTTTTATAAAGCTAAATAAATATAAAAAAACATATTAGTTTTATTATTTTATTTCCTAAAATTATGCTTTATTATAAGAATTTAATTACTAGTATTTAAAAAAAAGTCCGGGCTATTTAAGGGGCTAGTAGCTTTATAATTAATAATAATTATAAAAAATTTAAAAGTAGTACTAAATAATATAATATTAAACTAAAAAAAAGGTAGTAATTAATAAAAAAGTTTATACTTTAAATAAAAATAGTGCTAGGTAATATTACCTTTTTACTTAAAAAAGTCTTTTTAAATTTAAGTAATCTAGGTAATAGTGTTTTTTTAAGCTTAATTAATAATAATATTTTTTTAATAATACTAGGCAGCTATTTAAGTAAAAAGGTTAATATATTATAAAACAAAGGCATGGTTACTATAAGTATTTAAATAATAAAAAAAAATTATTTTAAAAAAGTGGATTTTAAAAAACATAGTTATTTCTAAGGTTAAAAACAAAGCTAGAGGCAGCGGGTGTGTTAAAATAAAAAAAAATAAGTAAATTATAAAAACTAAAAATAAATAAAAATTATTATAATATTTTAGTTTAAAATAGCTAAATTTCCATTACTAAACATAAGTTTTTTAAATTTATTATTTATAAAGGGTTCTACAATTATAAATTAGCTTTTTATTATAAATAAATATATTATAAAAATTAAAATTAATAAACACAAACTTTACCTCCAGCCTAAAGGCATTTAATTTATATAAATATATAATTAAAGCTTAAAAATAATATAATTATTTATTAACCTAACATTAATCCTATTTTAATATTATATAATACTATTAAATATTAATAATTAAAGCAAGCTTAATAAAATTATTATGTAAATATATTATAATATAAAAAAATACTAGCAGCAGCAGCAGCAGTATAGTTTATAATAATAAAAAAAAATAAAAAATATATTTTAGTATTTTTTAGCTATTAATTTTAATATTTTTTTTAAAAGGGTAGTTAAAAAATACTTTATTACTAGGGGTAGAATATCTTTTTGTTTTTATTTTTTACTAGGTTATTTACTAAATAATAGCTTTTTAAAATAATCTTTATTTAAATTAGTGTGTTTTTTATTTATTACTAGGTAATTTTAAAAGTTTAGTAGCTTTTTTTTTATATAGCTACTAAAGTTTAGTTATTAGTATTATATAAATTATTATAAAGCTTTATTTCCGCGGCTAAATATATATAAATATTTAAATAATAATTAATTTATATATAAGATAGGATAGTAGTAATACTAAAAACTTATATTTAATAAAAAACTAGCTATATTTTAAAAACTTATTATAATTAATAAGATTTTATAACTAGTACTATATTTAAAAAAAATAAAAGTAAAAAAAACTTTAAAAAATAGTTAACTAGCTTCTGCTTTACCTTAGGGGTATTACTAGTAAAATTAAGGTAAAAAATAATAGGTTACTTTGCGCGCGTTTTTATTTTTATTAATTTAATATAATTTTAGCTAGGTTAATTAAATTATAATAATACTAAAAATAACTTAGGGTACTTATAAGCATTCACTTTAATATTTATAACTTTTAATTATAATATATATTATAATAACATAAAAAGGTATTAATAAAATTAAAGCTTTTTTTATTAGTTAAAATAAGCTTTTTTTTAATAATAACGTCTAGTCCGGCGTTATAATAAAATTAAATAAAATAAAGTTATTAAAGTTAATATATAAAATTATTCTAGTAGGCTATAAACTTTTTTTTATATTAAAAGGCACGGGAGTATTTAATTTTAGGTATTTATAATAAAAAGAAAATAATAATAACTAAATTTACCTTTTTATTAACAGGGCTATTTATTTTTATTTATAAAATTTTAGGCTTATTTTTTATATTATTTAGGGTTTTAATTTCCGCGGGTGTTTTATTTTTACTACTTTTTTTTATAGGTAATATATTTAATATAATAAAAGTAGCTTTACGCTATTTATATAATTAAAAGTAATATAAAAACTTAAATTTACTTTTAAATTATTAAAAGCAGCCTAAAAATTTAACTTTATATTTATAATATTAGTGTTTTAATAAT